GCGGGACGCACCTTGGGGGTCCCAGCCCCTGAGGATGCAAGCCCCCTCACTTTGAGGCTTTGCCAGAGGTGGACACTGCCTCCTCGTCCAGGGTGGTTGGAGCATCAAGGCTCGGGACCCCCGGTTTGCTAACAAGGGGCGCCTGGATAGAAAGGGCAGCGCCTAGAAAGCCCACAGTTGGCATGGTGTCCCGTTTGGTCTTCTGTTCCTCATTAGCCAACTGAACTCCTGGCCCCGATCAACATGTCTGTCTGGTGTTCACATGGGATGAACACACGTGTCGGGGAGACGTCCACCTTTCGTTGGATGGCTGAGCTTTGCTAGCTGGTGTTGATGAGTCTTTGACTGCTTGACATAGGATCAAACTGGAACCGGGTTTTCCATCGCAAAGCATGGTGGCTCTTGAGTGAGTCACGACCAATGTTATGACTCTTTTTTGCCACGGTTGTTCCCCTCAATTGTTAAGTGAATCGTGCAGTTTGTTCACTGGCTTTGCTTGTCGGAAGCTGGCTGGGGAGTCACAAGCGGCAATCAAGGGTGCCTGGAACACCCCCCAACTGTCATCCGTACATGCTGGGGGCCAAATGTCCACATTTTGATCATGTTGGGGGGCATTCTGTGATGGTTGCATGAGGACATTTGTAACTTTGAACAGCCACTAAAGCAGGGGTCTCCAACCTTGGCCACTTTAAGACTTGTGGACTTCAACCCCCAGAATTCCCCACCCGGCCATGAATGATAGAGTTGGAAGAGACCAGAAGGGTCATCTAAGTCTCCAACCTTGGCCACTTTAAGACTTGTGGACTTCAACTCCCAGAGTTCCTCAGCCAGAGGCAACAGGCAAGCAGGGATCCCTTCCACAGAAGCCAAGAGTCATAAGCCTTATGATTTATTTTAGGCCCAGCTGATGCATGAGAAACACCCCCATGGTTGGGTTTCCCTGGGATGCTTAAGAGCCTTTAAGGAGTTTGGATGTTCTCCCACTTTGCACACTAAGCCACAAAAATAAACAAGCAGAGGCTACAACTCAGTCCGTGGCAGCAACAATGCAGTGCAGAGACTTCTACACGACAGATAATATTCCTCCCCTCCAGGGTGGGAATTTGGGCCTAAAGAGGAAAGAGTTTTTAAAGGGGGCATTTCTTGGCCTTGTGCCAGCTCCCCTCAACCCGATGTCTCAGACTTGCAGCCCTTCCTTTAGTGCAGGGGTCTCCAATCTTGGCTACTTTAAGACTTGTGGACTTCAACTCCCAGAGTTCCTCAGCCAGCCAACCCCCCACCCAAGCAGGAGACCCTACACCATTTCCGACAGAGAGCAGTCCAATCTCTTCTTGGAAGCCTCCAGGGATGAAGCTCCCACAACTTCCGAAGGCAACTCCTGTTCCATGGGTTGATTGCTCTCCCTGTCAGGAAATTCCTCCTTATTTCCAGGTTGAATCTCTCCTTGACCAGTTTCCATTCCATTATTCCTTGTCTGGCCTATAGGTGCCTTGGAAAATAACTTGATCCCCTCCTCCTCTCTGTGGCAGCCCCTCAAATATTGGAAGGCTGCTCTCCTGTCTCCCCTGGTCCTTTTCTTCCCTAGACTAGCCAGGCCCAGTTCCTGCAACCGTTCTTCGTATGTTTAGCCTCCAGTCCTCTCAACATCCTGGTTGCTCTTCTCTGCACTCTTTCTAGAGTCTCCACATCTTTTTTATAGTGTGGTGACTTCCCTTGAGCAGGAGGCTGGCCTCAACAGCTTTCCACAGTTCCAAGCAGATGCAAACAGCTGGCAGTTCAGCCAAGGTCTTCCCAGTTGGCTTTGAAAAAAGATTAGAGTGCTGAATGGTAGTGGGGCTTTTCCCCGTTGCTCAGCCTTCTTCTCGGTAAACCCCTGGAAGTCTCCCAATGCCACTTACTTATAATAGAAATGGCTATTTTTAAAGTAATTCTCTGGGTGGTACACAGAAAAATAAACCATAAACTGTAAAAATGCCAAAGAAACATTAAAACAAGAACGTGGCTCTAGAACACAAATGCAAAATTAACAAGGGCAGAACACGAGAGATGCAAATTGCTCCTCATTTCAGCTCATTTCCATAAAGCACCTGGAGCTGACCTGCTCATACCAATTAGTAGGTTTTTCAAAATTTTGCTAAACTTTCCTTTACTAAAATTAGAGAAGCAGCTGGAAAAAAACGTTTACGCTTTTCAAAAAGAGGAGGGATGCTCTTGGAGAAGGGTTCCCACCGCAGTTCCTCAACTTGGAAATAGGCAGGCACAACGAATACACTCCGAGCATGAGGAAGGCCTGGCCTTCGAAGGGGGGGTTTTTCACTGGAAGAAGCGGGAGACCTTGGCATGAATGGGGTAGCCTGCCAGGGCTGGGGCTCTGGAGCAGGGGTCTCCAACCTTGGCCACTTCAACTCCCAGAATTCTCCAGCCAGGGCTGAAAGGGGCCAAGGTTGGAGACCCCTGGTCTGGAGGGTGGCAGCACCTGGGGGCTGGGATGGGAGCCCAGACGGGCCAGCTGCAAGCAGCAGCAGCCAGACCCATAGAGTTGTGGGTTCAGGGTTAACCCTGCTTAACCCAGCCCGTTTCTGCTCTTAATGCTGGATTGGGCAGCCCCCTGGCACGCCACGGTGCTGCCCTTGCCCAGGGGAGGATGGCAAGGCTGCCTTGATCAGCACCCCTTCCCACTGGCCAGGCAGGCAGCAGGGCTAGTAGGGTGGACAGGCAGCCGGTCAGTCAAGAAGCTTCCTCCAAGTGCCAGGTCTGGCAGGGAGGTTGGCATTCTCAGTTGCTTTGCAACCTGACCTTGTTTTCTCTGAGGACTGACTGGGTAGCGGTTGGTCACCCTCCCCCCCCTGCCCTCCCCTCAGCGGGTTTGTCCTCCTTAAATGTGCCTGGTGGGCAGGAGGGCAAGGCAGGCTGTCCAGTCAGCAGGGCATTGGCAGGGCTGGTGCATTTCACAACTTTTCCTCCCCTCCCTCCTCCTACCACCTGATTAAGTAAGTGGGGTGATCCGGGTCTGTGCTGTGGTGGGACGAGAGTCCCGGCCTGACGGTCCCATCTGTGGAGCTGCAGCTGACGTGACAAGCAGCCTCCCAAGGAGCAGCCCTGCTCTGGGTGCCGTTGAAGGCTCCCCTGAGCAGCCCGGGAGGATGGGGGCGGGGTGCAGGACATGGGGGACCCTGGTTTGGACTGAACCCCCCCTCCCCTTTTCCTAAAAGCCAAGGGTGTTTAGGGAAATGTTTGCAGGGGGGTGGTTTGATAGGATCTTAGATTTTTGCAAGGCGCGGTTGCTTTTGGAAAGGCAGCATGGCAGCGTTGCATTTGGTAGTATCACCCACGGCACAGCACAAGGTTGGCTGCGGAAAGTAAGGCAGTTCCCAAACAAGGACGGATCTGCTGGGTTGCTGCCCTTCGTGCATTTAAAACACTGAATTTTTGATGTGCCTCGGGGTCTGCGTTAAAGCGACTTCCCCCCTGCTCTAAAATAGGCCATTCAATCTCCTGCTCTGCAGCTGCCGAGGGAGGTTCTGGCAGCAGGTCCGAGGTGACCCAACGGATTGTGGCCACACTGTTCCCCCAACTTCCCCCACCCCCCTTGCTAGGAGGGGAGGTGCTCTTCCGATGCCCCCAATTTTAGCCATTCCCCCCTCCCCCACGTCTCACTGAGGCTCCTGCAGCAGGACTGACCTGTGGGCGTCGATGGTGGGTGGGTTGGTGGGGGAGTGTCACTGCTTGCCTCACCCACCCACCCACCCACCCGCCCCCAGCCCCACCTACCCCCACCCCTACACCCCAATGCCTGCAGGACTGGAGGCCCATCGGCACAGAACCATCTTCAGCGGGCAAAATCCCAGGCCCCAGCACTGTGTGTCTGCGTGAGGGCATCAACAGGCCACCCCGCCCCACACGGTCCTTCAGCCGAGCCTGACCGCCAACCCAAACCAGCTCCCTGGGGACTCTCCCTCCAAGCCCCAGAGGCCCAGGCTTCTGTCCTTCTCCGTGGGTGTTTGTTGGGGTGATGGGGCATCCTGTTAAGGCTGGATGTCTTGAACCCCTGAAAGGCACCCAGAAATTTGGGCGGGGTGGAGACGGGTGGGGCTGGCCTTGGGAATCGGCCCCCTCCCTACCCAACCTGGGCTAACCTGAATCTGAGGGAGGCCTGGGGGCTCTGAATAGAGGCGGCTGGGAGTCTGTTTTGGAGGTCACTCCATGGCCAGGGGGGCATTTTCAGGCTTCCCAGGTCGGCCGAGGGACAGGAAACGCTGCCGAAACTTCACCTGCGTTGGGCATCTCTCAAAATGAAATTGGGGAGGGGGTTCCCGGGGAGAGAGACACCAGCCCAGTGAGAGTCCTGAGCAACCTGGCATTTTGAGCCATGCTGGTCAAAGCTTGAAACTTAGGAGATGTTTTCCAATTCTCTCAAGTGTGGAAATTCCCAGGGAAAATGTGCACTCCAGCCACACGACAGACACAAAACTCTGGAGGGTTTCTCTGCCTTGTAGTGAAAGAGCTTCTCGTGCAGGGGTGGGATTTAAATGTTTTTACTACCACTTCTGTGGGCGTGGCTTGGTGGGCGTGGCAGGGGAAGGATCCTGCAAAATCCCCCTTCTAACCCCACTAACCTGCTTTCCAGCTCCGTTCTCCTGGGCAGGGCAACCAAAGGAGACCCAGCCGATCAGCTGGGACTCAATGGGAGGCAGAGAAGAGACGGGGTTGGCGGGGCCAGTCAGAGGCGGGATTGGCTGGTTCTCCGAACTACCCAAAATTTCCGCTCCTGGTTCTCCAGAACCGGTCCGAACCGACTGAATCCCACCTCTGTTCTGGTGACAGTGTGGATTAGGGAGCCAGTTGAGGCCTCCGTTGCTGCCCTGAGCGTCTCCCCGATTCTAAAAGCTGGCCTCTCTGCTGACAGGTCATGGACTCTTCCTTCCTTCCTTTGGGGTCGGAAGGGGGCAGCCTTGGAAACGGCCCCCTCTCTCAACTCGCTTCCTTTCTTTGCTTGACAGATTTTTCCGCCCAAGTGAATTCGACCTCCTTAAGTTCTCCCACCGGCCGGGGAAGCCATATGGGCACACCTGCCCTCCACCCCTCCATGGGGCCCAGCCTCGGAGGCTCCTTGGGGTCGCCCAGCCAGCTCCACTCGCCCATCAACGGCATGGGGCCACCCTTCTCCGTCATCAGCTCCCCGATGGGGCCTCACCCCATGTCTGGACCCTCCACCCCCGGCCTCGGATACGGAGCTGGCAGCCCGCAGGTGAGTCTCCGGCCCTCTGGCTGAGGTGGGGGGGGGGGGGGGGGGGGGTGGTGGGGGGGGGGCTCTTCCGGGGGGCTGTTCTTTTTTTTTTTTTTTTCCTTTTTTGTAAAAAGTTTTTTATTTTTTCACATTTCAAAGACACCTTTTTTGGTGAACAGCACGATTCCAGGTTTCCACATTTTCATACAAACATGACCTTAGTTACATATTCACCTTTCACATTTAATTTCATATCCTATCATTACGTTGCATATTTTCTGTCTCAAATACTTTTCTCGAACTTATTATATATATTTTCTATTCATTTCTTGACCTAATTCTTTTAACTTTAAATACTTCTTATATCTTCATTATTCATTAAACTTCATGCTTTTATCTGTCAGGTTTGCAATTTCATGGCATATTCTTAAATCATCATTTGAAAACTTCCATCCCAATGCAAACAATTCAAAAGGTTTCCCCACTTGATGTACCACCCCTTTACCTCAGACACCATTTAGTTAGCTCCTCTTTAATCCTGAGGGGGCTGTTCTGGCGGCTGTGGGGGGGGGAGGGGCTGAGCACCCCACTTTCGCTCCAGGTTCCACCTGCCACCTCATTCCTCTCCTGCACCTCCGTGCCTCGGTTGGGGTGGGCAAGGGAGCCGCTTTCTGTCTTTTGGGTGTAGATTTCCTGAGGAAGGTATTCAATATTAAGAACTGCAGGGCACGTAACAGGGAGATTCTTGGGAAAACATGCAGGGAATAAGGAGAAACAGGCCCCATTGCTGCCCATCGGAGGGCTGGGGGCCCTTCCTGGGGCTGCTTTCCCCCCTAAGTGCCACAGGGAGCATTGTGTGTGTGTGTGTGTGTGTGGGGGGGTTATAGCCAGACCCATCTGGCACCCCCACTCTCTCTCTGCCTCTGTACCCCACTGCAGAGGAGACCGCCTTGTCTGGGGGCTTTGCTGCAGGGGTGTGTGTGTGTGTGTGTGTGTCCCTCTTCAGAGAAAATGTGCTCTCGTTGAAAGACGATGAATGGTGCCCAACGCCCAGGCTAAGCCCCTTGGCCTCCCCCTCCCCCCTTTGAAGCGGCTGGTGCAGGATTGGGCCCCTCGTCCTCCCCCTGAGCAAGGGAGGGGCTCAAGGGGTGTGGGCTACCCTGGAAGGTGGGGAGGGGGGCTTTCCTCCCCTGGGATGGAGCAGGCCCTGCTGGCTAGGCAGACCTGGGGGGTGAGTCTTCCAGGGCAGAAGCCCCGCCCTGCAGAGGCTGCATAGAAAGAGGGAGATCCGAGCCAGGTGCCACCTGTTCCTGGTGCTGGAGTGGGCTCCCCTTTGCCCATCCAGGCAGGGGAGGGGGTGACCCAGCGGGGGAGGCCGGGAGGACACGGCTCAGCCGCCCCCAAACGTTGCTGCAGCCGCCTGTACAGCTTCCGGCTGCTGCCAAGGCCCTGGGCCTCAGCCAGATCCCCAGAGGGCTGGCAAGGGTTGAGGCCAGGGGGGCACAAGGGAGTGGCTGCCTGCAGGCTGAGTGCCCCTCTCCCTCCCTTCTCTCGGAGGGAGAAGCCCCTACAGGCTCTGAAGGGCCGGGGGCTTCTGAGCATGCACAGAAGGCTTTCCCAGGTGGCCTGCGTGGCAGTGGGGGCAGGAGTGACTTTGGGGGGTTGCTGCATTCAATCCACCCTCCACCTTGGTCCGCCCTTAAAGGCTACTGTGGCACAAGAAGGAGAAAGGGGGGGGCATGTCCTTAAGCCCCCTGAAAAAGTGCCCTGGG